CCTCTATTTCTATCTCTAGGCCAAATACTTTTGTTACTCAGTCTCTGTATCATCTGTATGAGCTTATTAACTGCCATCAAACTATAAGTGAGGACAAGATTGGTCCATTAATCTCGTGGTTTTGTAAGTAATTGAAACACACACACACACGCCACTACTGTTAACTTCACCCTTTCGTCTCATCTCTTTCTTTCTCTTCCTCTATTATAGTCAGCTAAACTACATGTACATGTAGCTACACGTATTTCAAGATTTGCAATTTTGTCCTATCACAGTTTGGCAACAAAACAATAGTAAGAAGCAGTATGTACACGTGCATGTACTTACATGTAATCTTGTTATCAGTATCAACAATCAATCTATTTTAATGTGCTTTATTATAAAATTAATAATAATTACATAGTATCATTATGCGCTGTACGGTATATATACATGTATTGTGCATGTACATTTGAGTAATTATAATTCTGGTATATTAAATATGAATTTCAGTGTATAGTGGTTATTATTGTTATCATTATGATTTGTAGGGAATTAGATTGGGACTATCTGAATGACATGATTGCAGACAATTAAGTCATCAAAATTGAACTGCACATACACCTGTGGATACTACTATATTGCCAGTGGTCATTGTATTGAAGGTACAAAGAGATGTACATGTACATGCATTGAAATGTAACTAAAAATTTGACAAAGAGACTTCAATTCGCCAAAAGCGCCAAAATTTTACTCCACCAAATATTCTAGCTATATAGTAATTAATTTCAAAGCAATTAGAAATTTTATGTTATGATCTTACAAAATTGGATTTACACATTAAGTGATAATCAACACTTTAGTAATTGAACTATTGTCTTAATGTAACAATCTTTTTCTCTTCTCTAAAGGCAAAGGCTAATGTTTGTTTCACTATTGTCTCCTGAAGAGAAAGAAGCATTGCAGGTAGTGTTACTTGTTATCATATTATTGCCAATCATTTGGTGAAATGTTGTTGTTAATAGTGTATTGTAGCAAGGGAGAGAGAGACAGACAGACAGACAGGGAGGGAGGGAGGGAGGGAGGGAAACAGAAAGACAGAAATATATGCCCTTTGTAACAATGAACATTTTTCTTTCTAAAGTCAGGTTATGCAGGCTTTCCAGTACTCAAGCAGAGACAAAGTGAAAGTAGACAGATAGGACAACCCCTTGGAGGAGGAGCATAAAGTCTTAAGTCAGCAAAAGTTAGACTAATTAGTAACTGCATATACATGCATCCTATGGGAATAATAGATGTTCACATGTACCTACATGTATCTAGTACCTACATACTTGTATGTAGGCCAGCCCTTTCACCACAGCAAAGCATAGTCAGCAGTTCATGTTGTGCAAGCTACGTTTAGGTAGGTGTATACCTGTATGTCAACAATTAGGGTAGATGAAAGCAGCCAAAAAGTATACCATTAGTCAGTACTGCATGTGTGTCCATATATACAGTGCATGTTTTTATACCTGTACATACCTAAGGCCAGCCCTTATTAGTTTTTTGACACTACAGATAAAAGCATATAGTGAATATTGTTGATGGATCTCATAGCTTTATTCCTACCATGTGCCTTGTTCTTTTGCCTTGATCAATGTACTTCTCCAGTTCAAATGTGTCATTATTCTTAGTATGTACTTTTGTATACCATACCATATGGACTATCTTGCATCCATATGTTGGTAATTTAGAGTGCTTTGATGTTTACAAAATTTAACAAAATGTCTTTCTACAGTTTGATGTCCTCTCTTTATCTCTCTCTCCTTCCCTCCCTCCTCCTCCCTATCTCCCTCCCTCCCTCCTCCCTATCTCTCTCTCTCTCTCTCTCTCTCTCCCTATTATATTTTGACATTTTTCCAGCACATAAATGTCCTAAAAATAATTAATTAACCCTTTATTCTCGTGCATATGCTATTTTGGCAAGATTCATTCAAAGAAACCAATATAACTGATGCTATGAAAACAGGCCGATATTTGTTATGCCAGTCTGATTATCAGTACATCCTTTAATTTCTATCATGTACAATGTACCTTGTTCTTCTTTATCTCTCTCTCAGTCTATTACCTCCTTTATTAATGTTTTATTATTTTTAATAAGTATACAGTACATCTACATCTACATTTTCATTCCCAATAGTATATGCATGTACCTAGACTACTGTCATACATACCATGTTTATAATAAAACCCACCATTTTAATTTACATACAGCCACGCATGTACATAAATTAATATCAAGCAAAAAGACACACAACAGAGATTATTGTCATCTGTCATCAAAAATGTCATGGTAACAGGGTTCCCCCAAAATTTTGGTTTAAGGCTCATATGCGGCTTCTTGTCAGTTGATTTTGAAATCACTAATAAAGATGTTTTGAGTAGAGAGAAAAGTGAATTATTTGTTTTTATATTTTTGATGAAATTTGGCCAGAGACACTGTACTATAGTACAGGGACTTTGGCACGATTTTAGAGCAACTTTAAAAATTGATAAAAATCAAACTTTTACCAGAATCAGCTCAAACTTTCTACGCAATAAAGAAGTACATAATGTATTAGCAGAGTACATAATCTACAGAGAGTATCTAACCATACTATAATAGTTTAAACATCACCGCGTAGTATTTTTTTGTGCATCTTTGGGCATTCCCGCATACTGGGTGTGGCTGAGTAGGAAAAAATGGCTGCCAAGTTTGCTCAACAAGGCTTGCTGGCCATTTTGGTGTCTCTGCTATAGCAGTACCACACAACAGGCTTCAGCAGCATTATAAAGTTTCCTAGTATGATGTCTAAAGCTTCTTCAAGTGTTCTCCACTGTTCTTTATGCTAACTTCTACACATGTTTTTACTAAGTACACCCACGCTTCTGGTCTCACGTGACTTAGTTCTATGCGGTCATATTTCAGCTACTATAGTGCAGTTAGACACTCTCTGTAAATTATGTACTCTTGATATTAGTTAAATTATAAAAATGAAGAATTCCCTCCTTATTACATTTGACAAAATTTGGCCAGAGACACTGTACTATAGTACGGGGAATTGGGCCCAATTTTACAGCAATTTTAAAAATTCATTAAAAAACAAATTTTTATCAGAATCGGCTCAAACTTTCTATGCAATAAAAAACATGTAAATGCATCAGATAAATTTTTTTAAATACAGAATTATCTCCTTTTCAGTTTTGACGAAATAAGGCCGAAGAAACTGTACAGGAAATTGAACCCAATTTTAGAGCAACTTTAAAAATTCATAAAAAATCAAATTTTTATCGGAATCGGTTCAAACTTTCTATGCAATAAAAAATACATATGTATATTAGTTAAATTATAAAAATGGTGAATTCCCTCATTATATTTTACAAAATTTGACCAGAGACATTGCACTATAATAGTACAGGGACTTTGGCCCGATTTTAGAGCAACTTTAAAAATTCATAAAAGAAACAAAATCTTATCGGAATCAGCTCAAACTTTCTACGCAATAAAAAAACATACCTATTAGTTAAATTATAAAAATGGAGAATTTGCTCCTTTCTATTTTTGAAAAAATTTGGCCAGACACACTGTACTATAGTACAGGGAACTAGGCCCAATTTTAGAGCAAATTAAAAAATTTAGAAAAAAAACAAATTTTTATCGGAATCAGTTCAAACTTTCTATGCAATATATAAACATGTAAAAATGCATCAGATAAAATTTTAAAAATACAGAATTATCTCCTTTTCAGTTTTGACGAAATAAGGCCAAAAAAACTGTACAGGGAATTTTGAACCCAATTTTAGAGCAGCATCAAAAATTCATAAAAGAAACAATTTTTTTGGAATCGGATCAAAC